TCAAATGAGATAAAATGTAACAACATATGACCATCTAAACACGTATTCGTAACAATCAAACAAGCAAAAGCACAAGAAATGTTACAACAATTCAAGTATTTGTTCATGACTTCATGGGGGAAAAGTAAGCAAGTTTCATGGTAACAACTAAGTCAAAAATCAAACCCTATCATGTTATGGTTCTAACAAGACACATAAACAAGTAGAATGAGGCATGAAAAACATATTCAATAGGTTACAACATCAAGAATCACGGTATGAATCACAAAGAAGTTCAAGGTATACCATCCACATTCAAGCATTCACAAAGACAAGAAACTAACCATAAACATGTTATGGTTCTAACAATACACATAGACAAGTAGAACGAGACATGATAAATATTTACAAGAGGTTACAACATCAAGAATCATGGTATAGGTCACAGATGAAGTTCAACATGCCATTTTCACATGTATGCTTCACAAAAGCAAGCATGAACATAGCAAGGAAATGAATCAAAAAAATTTGAACATTTAAACATGTTAACAAAAATATATGAATCATAAAAGATAAATCTCATTGACATAATATACGTTATTATTATTATTTTTAATATAAGGTAAATTTTATTGACATAATATATGTTACTATATTCAATGACTGGATGTTGAATTTTATTGACATAATATATGTTATTATCATTATTTTCAATACAAGGTGAATTTTTATATTCATATATATGATAATAAAAACCATAAAGTATTTTATATTAAGTTTAACTCTATTCGATTAATCTTGTTTGGTATATATTATTGACTGATTAATATAATCGTATTTACACAATATTTTTAAAAAGATAATAATTTAAATTTAACTTTTGTGAAATAAAAGAAAAAGTAAATGTGAACAAATTTATTTTTATTTAAAAAGTAAATGTGAACAAATTTATTTTTATTTAAAAGAAGGAGAAAAAAAACAATTAACAAATTTATTTTTATTGAAAATAAAAGACTAAAAACTGAAATGAGGGACATGTGTGCCAAAAAGTTCAATGATTCAAAGTATAATCATTATGCATATATTTTTGTTAAAATGATATAGTAGTTAAACGTATTTGGACATGATTATTAGTATATAAGAGAATGCTCTTTGGTTCATTTGAAACAAAAAAAAATGGAGAATTTGACGACAAAATCAGGTGGTGGTGGTGGTAGTGGTGGTACGACAAGGTTCCTAGTGAAAACTTACCAGATGGTTGAAGATTCATATACTGATAATATAGTATCATGCAGTCAAAGCAACAATTGTTTCATCATTAAGGATCCTGATGAATGTGTTAGCAATCTTAGCAAGTATTTCAGACACAACAATTTCTCCAGCTTTGTCCGTTTGCTCAATACATATGTATGTAATATATTATTTTTATCTTTGAATTATTATGCCTAAACCTCAATTATCTTTTGTTATTTTTCTCATAGATTTCTTTAACCATTTCATTTGTTATTTTTAAACGTTGGTTTATTCTTTAAATATGGAATCTCTTTTGTCTCAAAGTTTTTTATTTAGACTATATCGATCGAGATGGTTTTTGCACTATACAAATTTGATGTCTAATTTGTTATGGTTCATTGTTATGTGTTTCAATGCCAGGGATTTCACAAAATAAACATGATCGATGGGAGTTTTCTAATGAGTATTTTTTTGAAAGATCAATATCATCTTCTTGGTAATATTCACCGCAAGAAAACTGTTCACAGTCACTCTCTTGGAGAAGTAGAAAGGCTTGCATTTGAAGAAGAAATTGAGAAACTTGCTAACGAAAAAGCCTCAATTGAATTAGATATTTCTAGCTTCAATCAGTACATGCCAACTAAAAAGCTTCATGTGGTTAATCTAGTGCAAAGATTAGAAGCATCTGGGTATAAGCATAATAATTTGAAGAACTCGTTTGAGTTGGTTCTTCAATATCCTAAATTCGTCAAAAAAAATAAATAAGAAAGTTGAGTTCATTTTTTGTAAATATTTTCTCATAAAAGGCATTTTATTGATGCTGGCGAAAATTCTTTTTTTTTTACAAGAGTAGCAACTTTGGATTAACGGAAGTTGAAAATAGTTTGGATAATAATGATAACAACTTTGGATTGATGGAAGTTGAAAAGGATTTTGCTGACAGCGATACCAATTTTAGATTTATGGATTTTTGAGATTTTTTTATGAGAATGATAGCAACTTTGAATTTATGGAAGATGGAAAAAGTGCACAGATAAGGTTACCGGTGAAGGAGGATTACCATAAGAAACCTAGACAATAACAACTTTTAGATTAGCATCTGACAAAGAGGGTAGAATAAAGAATGTGATGATGGAGGAACATTTTCAATAGGAATTAGAATAGTGTCGTTACTAATTACTATTTGTAAAAATATGATTTAAAGTTGATCGATATGTAAAAATAAACTCAAAGGATCAATAATAAATGTGTTTGACATGTTTTTTCAAAAAGGTATAGTATTTTTTAATAAATTAATTACTTTTTTGATATTTTATAATAATAAAATAATTACTATTTTTTAAACAAAAACTTATGAGGATAAAATCAAAATTCAAACCAACCACGTTCAAGTGTTTGCTTCTAACTTGATAATAATATGTTGTTTTTAGAGAACATTTCTAGTGTTTTTTCAAGTGCCTCTATATACATAATAAGTGAAGATGATAATAATTGTTATGACAAGTGAGCGTCGTGGATTCAATCCATAATTTATGGTATTTAATAGGGAAATTGTCGAAGTTACATCAAGAAAGTAGTTTATAGTGAATTACAACCAAGACCACGTCCTTAGAGCAACTCGACATTTTAGGGAAAGATGAGTGTTGCAGTGAGAATCAGATGTCAAGCTATTGATTAAATTGAATCTTAATTCATTAAATTCACAACTGGACTTTGATTTATTCAAAGGAAAGGTTAAAGAAGAAAGACCTTTTACGCTATGTAACAACAACGCTGAGAGATTCGGGGATCGAGGGTTGGTTATGCTTAGGGTAGGTATTTCACATCCTAAACATCTGTAGTACTCTACAGGAACATTTTGTATGTTTGTATGCTAATTTACTACCTATGGTTTGAGATCAAGGTTAGGGTTTTGAGTTAAATACCTAGGGTTGATGTTTCTAAGTTTGCTCATAAAGATATCACATCTTTTGCCTACGTATCATAACTAGGAGATAATCAGAGCAATCGTAGTTCACCTCACCGAGGGTGGATGAACACTTGATTATGATCAAGGTTCAAAGGCCAAAAAAAGATGACAATACTTTTATAGAGTTTAACAAAACTCTCTATTCTAAAATGTACACTCAAGGGATTGACTTTGACAAAAGCGAGGAGGGGAGTAAGTAATCATGACAATGATCCTTACATAGAGTTGACAAACTCTAACCAAGGGTTCTAGTTGAAGAACTCTCCTAGTAAAGGTGATTCTTTTATACTTAAGAAAAGTCTAATGGCTAGTAGGTTCTAACTTAGATAAGCTAGATTTCAAGTTGACTTAACAAAGTTGAAAGGGGGTAAAGAGCATCTATGACCCTGTTGGTCAATGAAGAAACTTTCCTCTAGAATAGGAGAAAGACGGGGCAACTGGATGAGAAATAACAAGTTCCATCACTTAGGGAAGGCTTAGCACAGTTAGAGAAATAAGAAAGAACATATAAAGACATATGAACAATAGTCAAGATTAACATAAAGACATAGAGGTAACAACCATCAATGCAAACACAAAACATGTGTAACAACAAGTTCATCTATAACATTCAAACAAGATTGATGCAAACAAGTTACAACTTGAAGCAAGCATGTTATAAGGATCAAATGAGATAAAATGTAACAACATATGACCATCTAAACACGTATTCGTAACAATCAAACAAGCAAAAGCACAAGAAATGTTACAACAATTCAAGTATTTGTTCATGACTTCATGGGGGAAAAGTAAGCAAGTTTCATGGTAACAACTAAGTCAAAAATCAAACCCTATCATGTTATGGTTCTAACAAGACACATAAACAAGTAGAATGAGGCATGAAAAACATATTCAATAGGTTACAACATCAAGAATCACAGAATGAATCACAAAGAAGTTCAAGGTATACCATCCACATTCAAGCATTCACAAAGACAAGAAACTAACCATAAACATGTTATGGTTCTAACAATACACATAGACAAGTAGAACGAGACATGATAAATATTTACAAGAGGTTAGAACATCAAGCATCATGGTATAGGTCACAGATGAAGTTCAACAGGCCATTTTCACATGTATGCATTCACAAAAGCAAGCATGAACATAGCAAGGAAATGAATCGAAAAAATTTGAACATTTAAACATGTTAACAAAAATATATGAATCATAAAAGATAAATCTCATTGACATAATATACGTTATTATTATTATTTTTAATATAAGGTAAATTTTATTGACATAATATATGTTACTATATCCAATGACTGGATGTTGAATTTTATTGACATAATATATGTTATTATTATTATTTTTAATACAAGGTGAATTTTGATATTCATATATATGATAATAAAAACCATAAAGTATTTTATATTAAGTTTAACTCTATTCAATTAATCTTGTTTGGTATATATTATTGACTGATTAATATAATCGTATTTACACAATATTTTTAAAAAGATAATAATTTAAATTTAACTTTTGTGAAATAAAAGAAAAAGTAAACGTGAACAAATTTATTTTTATTTAAAAAGTAAATGTGAACAAATTTATTTTTATTTAAAAGAAGGAGAAAAAAACAATTAACAAATTTATTTTTATTGAAAATAAAAGACTAAAAACTGAAATGAGGGACATGTGTGCCAAAGAAGTTCAATGATTCAAAGTATAATCATTATGCATATATTTTTGTGAAAATGATATAGTAGTTAAACGTATTTGGACATGATTATTAGTATATAAGAGAATGCTCTTTGGTTCATTTGAAACAAAAAAAATGGAGAATTTGACGACAAAATCAGGTGGTGGTGGTGGTAGTGGTGGTACGACAAGGTTCCTAGTGAAAACTTACCAGATGGTTGAAGATTCATATATTGATAATATAGTATCACGCAGTCAAAGCAACAATTGTTTCATGATTAAGGATCCTGATGACTGTGTTAGCAATCTTAGCAAGTATTTCAGACACAACAATTTCTCCAGCTTTGTCCGTCTGCTCAATACATATGTATGTAATATATTATTTTTATCTTTGAATTAATATGCCTAAACCTCAATTATCTTTTGTTATTTTTCTCATAGATTTCTTTAACCATTTCATTTGTTATTTTTAAACGTTGGTTTATGCTTTAAATATGGAATCTCTTTTGTCTCAAAGTTTTTTATTTAGACTATATCGATCGAGATGGTTTTTGCACTATACAAATTTGATGTCTAATTTGTTATGGTTCATTGTTATGTGTTTCAATGCCAGGGATTTCACAAAATAAACATGATCAATGGGAGTTTTCTAATGAGTACTTTTTGAAAGATCAATATTATCTTCTTGGTAATATTCACCGCAAGAAAACTGTTCATAGTCACTCTCTTGGAGAAGTAGAAAGGTTTGCATTTGAAGAAGAAATTGAGAAACTTGCTAACGAAAAATCCTCAATTGAATTAGATATTTCTAGCTTCAATCAGTACATGCCAACTAAAAAGCTTCATGTGGTTAATCTAGTGCAAAGATTAGAAGCATCTGGGTATAGGCATAATAATTTGAAGAACTCGTTTGAATTGGTTCTTCAATATCCTAAATTCGTCAAAAAAAATAAATAAGAAAGTTGAGTTCATTTTTTGTAAATATTTTCTCATAAAAGGCATTTTATTGATGCTGGCGAAAATTCTTTTTTTTTTTTACAAGAGTAGAAACTTTGGATTAACGGAAGTTGAAAATAGTTTGGCTAATAATGATAACAACTTTGGATTGATGGAAGTTGAAAAGGATTTTGCTGACAGCGATACCAATTTTAGATTTATGGATTTTTGAGATTTTTTTATGAGAATGATAGCAACTTTGAATTTATGGAAGATGGAAAAAGTGCACAGATAAGGTTACCGGTGAAGGAGGATTACCATAAGAAACCTAGACAATAACAACTTTTAGATTAGCATCTGACAAAGAGGGTAGAATAAAGAATGTGATGGTGGATGAACATTTTCAATAGGAATTAGAATAGTGTCGTTACTAATTACTATTTGTAAAAATATGATTTAAAGTTGATCGATATGTAAAAATAAACTCAAAGGATCAATAATAAATGTGTTTGACGTGTTTTTTCAAAAAGGTATAGTATTTTTTAATAAATTAATTACTTTTTTGATATTTTATAATAATAAAATAATTACTATTTTTTAAACAAAAACTTATGAGGATAAAATCAAAATTCAAACCAAACACGTTCAAGTGTTTGCTTCTAACTTGATAGTAATATGTTGTTTTTAGAGAACATTTCTAGTGTTTTTTCAAGTGCCTCTATATACATAATAAGTGAAGATGATAATAATTGTTATGACAAGTGAGCGTCGTGGATTCCATCCATAATTTATGGTATTTAATAGGGAAATTGTCGAAGTTACATCAAGAAAGTAGTTTATAGTGAATTACAACCAAGACCACATCCTTAGAGCAACTCGACATTTTAGGTAAAGATGAGTGTTGCAGTGAGAATCAGATGTCAAGCTATTGATTAAATTGAATCTTAATTCATTAAATTCACAACTGGACTTTGATTTATTCAAAGGAAAGGTTAAAGAAGAAAGACCTTTTACGCGATGTAACAACAACGCTAAGAGATTCGGGGATCGGGGGTTGGTTATGCTTAGGGTAGGTATTTCACATCCTAAACATCTGTAGTACTCTACAGGAACATTTTGTATGTTTGTATGCTAATTTACTACCTATGGTTTGAGATCAAGGTTAGGGTTTTGAGGTAAATACCTAGGGTTGATGTTTCTAAGTTTGCTCATAAAGATATCGCATCTTCTGCCTACGTATCATAACTAGGAGATAATCAGAGCAATCGTAGTTCACCTCACCGAGGGTGGATGAACACTTGATTATGATCAAGGTTCAAAGGCCAAAAAAAGATGACAATGCTTTTATAGAGTTTAACAAAAATCTCTATTCTAAGTTGTACACTCAAGGGATTGACTTTGACAAAAGCGAGGAGGGGAGTAAGTAATCATGACAATGATCCTTACATAGAGTTGACAAACTCTAACCAAGGGTTCTAGTTGAAGAACACTCCTAGTAAAGGTGATTCTTTTATACTTAAGAAAAGTCTAATGGCTAGTAGGTTCTAACTTAGATAAGCTAGATTTCAAGTTGACTTAACAAAGTTGAAAGGGGGTAAAGAGCATCTCTGACCCTGTAGGTCAATGAAGAAACTTTCCTCTAGAATAGGAGAAAGACGGGGCAACTGGATGAGAAATAACAAGTTCCATCACTTAGGGAAGGCTTAACACAGTTAGAGAAATAAGAAAGAACATATAAAGACATATGAACAATAGTCAAGATTAACATAAAGACATAGAGGTAACAACCATCAATGCAAACACAAAACATGTGTAACAACAAGTTCATCTATAACATTCAAACAAGATTGATGCAAACAAGTTACAACTTGAAGCAAGCATGTTATAAGGATCAAATGAGATAAAATGTAACAACATATGACCATCTAAACACGTATTCATAACAATCAAACAAGCAAAAGCACAAGAAATGTTACAACAATTCAAGTATTTGTTCATGACTTCATGGGGGAAAAGTAAGCAAGTTTCATGGGAAAAACTAAGTCAAAAATCAAACCCTATCATGTTATGGTTCTAACAAGACACATAAACAAGTAGAATGAGGCATGAAAAACATATTCAATAGGTTACAACATCAAGAATCACGATATGAATCACAAAGAAGTTCAAGGTATACCATCCACATTCAAGCATTCACAAAGACAAGAAACTAACCATAAACATGTTATGGTTCTAACAGTACACATAGACAAGTAGAACGAGACATGATAAATATTTACAAGAGGTTACAACATCAAGAATCATGGTATTAGTCACAGATGAAGTTCAACAGGCCATTTTCACATGTATGCTTCACAAAAGCAAGCATGAACATAGCAAGGAAATGAATCAAAAAAATTTGAACATTTAAACATGTTAACAAAAATATAAGAATCATAAAAGATAAATCTCATTGACATAATATACGTTATTATTATTATTTTTAATATAAGGTAAATTTTATTGACATAATATATGTTACTATATTCAATGACTGGATGTTGAATTTTATTGACATAATATATGTTATTATCATTATTTTCAATACAAGGTGAATTTTTATATTCATATATATGATAATAAAAACCATAAAGTATTTTATATTAAGTTTAACTGTATTCAATTAATCTTGTTTGGTATATATTATTGACTGATAAATATAATCGTATTTACACAATATTTTTAAAAAGATAATAATTTAAATTTAACTTTTGTGAAATAAAAGAAAAAGTAAATGTGAACAAATTCATTTTTATTTAAAAAGTAAATATGAACAAATTTATTTTTATTTAAAAGAAGGAGAAAAAAAATAATTAACAAATTTATTTTTATTTAAAATAAAAGACTAAAAACTGAAATGAGGGACATGTGTGCCAAAGAAGTTCAATGATTCAAAGTATAATCATTATGCATATATTTTTGTGAAAATGATATAGTAGTTAAACGTATTTGGACATGATTATTAGTATATAAGAGAATGCTCTTTGGTTTATTTGAAACAAAAAAAAATGGAGAATTTGACGACAAAATCAGGTGGTGGTGGTGGTAGTGGTGGTACGACAAGGTTCCTAGTGAAAACTTACCAGATGGTTGAAGATTCATATACTAATAATATAGTATCATGCAGTCAAAGCAACAATTGTTTCATCATTAAGGATCCTGGTGAATGTGTTAGCAATCTTAGCAAGTATTTCAGACACAACAATTTCTCCAGCTTTGTCCATTTGCTCAATACATATGTATGTAATATATTATTTTTATCTTTGAATTATTATGCCTAAACCTCAATTATCTTTTGTTATTTTTCTCATAGATTTCTTTAACCATTTCATTTGTTATTTTTAAACGTTGGATTATGCTTTAAATATGGAATCTCTTTTGTCTCAAAGTTTTTTATTTAGATTATATCGATCGAGATGGTTTTTGCACAATACAAATTTGATGTCTAATTTTTATGGTTCATTGTTATGTGTTTCAATGCCAGGGATTTCACAAAATAAACATGATCAATGGGAGTTTTCTAATGAGTATTTTTTGAAAGAACAATATTATCTTCTTGGTAATATTCACCGCAAGAAAACTGTTCACATTCACTCTCTTGGAGAAGTCGAAAGGCTTGCATTTGAAGAAGAAATTGAGAAACTTGTTAACGAAAAAGCCTCAATTGAATAAGATATTTCTAGCTTCAATCAGTACATGCCAACTAAAAAGCTTCATGTTGTTAATCTAGTGCAAAGATTAGAAGCATCTGGGTATAGGCATAATAATTTGAAGAACTCGTTTGAATTGGTTCTTCAATATCCTAAATTCGTCAAAAAAAATAAATAAGAAAGTTGAGTTCATTTTTTGTAAATATTTTCTCATAAAAGGCATTTTATTGATGCTGGCGAAAATTCTTTTTTTTACAAGAGTAGCAACTTTGGATTAACAGAAGTTGAAAATAGTTTGGCTAATAATGATAACAACTTTGGATTGATGGAAGTTGAAAAGGATTTTGCTGACAGCGATACCAATTTTAGATTTATGGATTTTTGAGATTTTTTTATGAGAATGATAGCAACTTTGAATTTATGGAAGATGGAAAAAGTGCACAGATAAGGTTACCGGTGAAGGAGGATTACCATAAGAAACCTAGACAATAACAACTTTTAGATTAGCATCTGACAAAGAGGGTAGAATAAAGAATGTGATGGTGGAGGAACATTTTCAATAGGAATTAGAATAGTGTCGTTACTAATTACTATTTGTAAAAATATGATTTAAAGTTGATCGATATGTAAAAATAAACTCAAAGGATCAATAATAAATGTGTTTGACGTGTTTTTTCAAAAAGGTATAGTATTTTTTAATAAATTAATTACTTTTTTGATATTTTATAATAATAAAATAATTACTATTTTTTAAACAAAAACTTATGAGGATAAAATCAAAATTCAAACCAAACACGTTCAAGTGTTTGCTTCTAACTTGATAATAATATGTTGTTTTTAGAGAACATTTCTAGTGTTTTTTCAAGTGCCTCTATATATATAATAAGTGAAGATGATAATAATTGTTATGACAAGTGAGCGTCGTGGATTCAATCTATAATTTATGGTATTTAATAGGGAAATTGTCGAAGTTACATCAAGAAAGTAGTTTATAGTGAATTACAACCAAGACCACGTCCTTAGAGCAACTCGACATTTTAGG